GAAACCTTCAAATCACAAGCTACTTGAGTTGTAATTCACTAATTTGTGGATTCTAAGTTTGTTAATTTGTGATATAGCGCCACCCTCAAGCACTCCAATGGTTTCAATGGAGAATTCACTTCATTCTGACATAGAGGGCCCCATTAGCCATGAGACTTCTCAATACACCTTCAGGACATCCACCGGTGAACTGCAGACTGATTTATTTTCTGGGTAATATGTATGAATGCGTTTGACATTTAGATTGAATGGGATGATGATAATAATAATAATAAACAAGATTAATGAAGAAAATGAGAAGAATTTGAATAGCTTGTTTACTAAGTTGATGACGTCTTCTATTTTGAGCAGTGTACTTTTAATAATTGTTTATCAAGACAATTTATACATAAATAAGAATTGAATAGTTGGAATAAATTGTGATTATCCAATCCCATGGGAAGTACACTGACAGAGGTCATTTTTTCCTCAGATAATAATAAATCAATAATTTGAAGTCGTATTGGTGGATGGTGACTAGTAGTGGAATCCAGGGTGCATATTTCGTCCTATTTGGGAATCGTCATCTGGATGGACCTGCATTCCTCAGTGAGTGAGTGGTGGTGTTCCCAGCGAGGCTCGAACCCAGGACCCATAGTTTTGAACGTAAAAGCGTTATCCACTAGAACATTTGGGCCACGAGAGCCACATGTTGTGCAGCGGGTCATATTAATTATTAAATTGAACATCATCACTCCAGGCACATCCAGCTGACGAGTCCCAAATAAGACGAAATATGCATCCTGGATTCCACTGCTAGTCACCATTTACCAATTAAATTCTGATTACATGACCAGACATCGTCGAAGCATTTGCACAAGGAGCCGACATGTCAGCCTGAGACCGAGCACTTCGGTCCAATCAATCGACAGGAAAATCTAAAATTCAATTAAATAATTAATATGACCAGCTGCACAACATGTGGCTCTCGTGGCCCAAGTTGTCTAGTGGATAACTCTTTGACGTTTGAAACTATGGGCAATGGGTTTCGGCCTCGGTGGGAACACCACTCACTGACTAAGGAATGCAGGTACATCTAGATGACGAGTCCCAAATAGGACGAAATGCGCATCCTGGATTCCACTGCTAGCCACCATCCACCAATTTTATTTACTGATTTGGTTACACTTTTTCCAAGCCAAACAGGAACGTGTTCACGAGCGCGTAAAGATAAATTCCTCCGAGTTCGACCTATATAACTAGCTCCACATGAGCAGCTGAACTTATATACACACATTGATGTGGCCATCTTAGGTAATTTATCTTTAGCTCACTGTGTCAGTAACTGTCTGGTTGAGAAAGTGATGCGTAGTTCTGCAGTACTGAAAGTTCTTCCAACCGATCTGATCAACCTACAGCTTAACAGGTCACTGCATATATCACCTTTGAACTGTGCTCTTAAATAGTAGAGCTTTTTCTTATTTGCAGTGTCACGCTTAATTTTCTCAGTTAGTCTTATATACAACACAAATAAGTTATTTCTAATTAGGATATAATTTGAGATACAAAAAATGCGGACATGGATGACCTTTTCTGGCAATGACAACCGAAAAATAAAACGGGATGAATGCAGTCCTTAAATATTTGTACTTTTAATTGTTTATATTTTGGCAAAGTTAGACATTCATAAGTTCCACACCTACGCAGCTGTTTATATTATGTTTGTTACATTCACAAAAGCCTCATTTTAATGCAAATTGTTCTATAACATTTGTATTATTACATTGGCGACCACATTATTTATTAATTCCTGAAATATATTATATGAGCTTCGGCTATCCAAGGGGAATATTTTCATGAATAGTAATAATGCTTTCTTTCAAATAAAAAGTGAGCAGAAATTCAACATTGTGTTTAGACTTTAATTTGTGGATGGTGACTAGCAGTGGAATCTACTAGGATGCGCACTTCGTCCTATTCGGGACTCGTTATCTGGATGTACCTGCATTCCCCAGTCAGTGAGTGATGGTGCTTCTGCCGAGGCTCGAACCCAGTGCTCACAGTTTCAAACGCCAAAGCGTTGTCCACTAGACTGAGGACTTCGGTCCAATGAATCAACGGGGAAATCTCAAATTCAATTGAATAATTAATATGACCCGTTGCAAAAGAGGTGGCTCTCGTCGCCCAAATGGTCTAGTGGATAACGCTTTGACGGTTGAAACTATGGGCACTGGGTTCGAGCCTCGGTAGGAGAACCATCACTCATTGACTGGGGAATGCAGGTACATCCAGATAACGAGTCCCGAATAGGACGAAATGCGCATCCTAGTAGATTCCACTGCTAATCACCATCCACAAATTAAATTCTAATTAAATGCCCATCTACACAAGAAGCCGACATGTCGACTTGAGACTGAGCCTTTCGGTCCAATCAATCGACGGGAGAATCTCAAATTGTGTTTAGATTGTTAAAAAGTGTAAATAAGTCACTGTGGGAAGAAAAATATTCCGAAATGTTGTCATGTGTCTATGTGCTCCCTGGTTTTCGATGATCTACTTACATTGAAATCAATCCAAATTCTTACAAAAAGACGCATCATCTAAATATATGTCTCCTCCAGTTCATCGACGACTATTGGATGGATGCACTCAAGTTGTACTGGGAAGTCGCGGTCAGTGGCGACAGATTGGTTTGCAGTAGCGCCACATCACAAGTTGACAGAAGTTAAAATTCACAGGTGACTAAGTGTTCAACGAGCTTCGCTTGTTAGATTGCAGGTATCGCGTTCCCATACGTGTTGGGGTAGTGCCTAGGCACTACTACTGAAGAGATTCAAACTGGGACGAAACAGCTGTCCAGTGCTTTCTGATTTGCAACAATCTCGAACTCATGTTGGTTCGTGATGAAATCTATATTCAAATCTCAGTTTGTCTACAATCGCTATATAACTAGCATGGTTGATAATAATAGCAATACATTTTTTTTGACAATATAGAGCTCACAGTCTTTGGTCAACTAGCCCAATCTACATTCTGCCTCTCAACACTTTTCATTCATTACCTCTCGAACATTTTCACTTCTTGTGCCTACAATTAAAGAAAGAAATCCAATGGAATGTACTTCATACTGCATCTACTAATTCAGGTAAAGTTACAGCCACATGTATATAGTTAGAACCAATAGAATATTTCAGCGTCATCGGAATGCACATGTTTCAAAGTGGTGGTTATTAAGTAGCATAAAAATCAAAATTTACCTAATCTGAATACACGTCCTGTATCATCTAGTGGTCAAAAAAAATCAATATTGATGACTCTACCTCAGTTATTACATGTAACTTTAATGCAAGGTTATTAAAGGTGATGAAAGCAATTAGGATTAATTGATATGCAGCATCCCAGCATGCATGCGTACAGAAAATAACAGACTTCAACTTCTGTCTAGCCTGGATTACTTGATCTGCTAAAACACTGTTGGTTATTAGTACACACTTTTTTTAAATTCATTTTTAATTGAATTTTGATTTTCCCCATTGATTTATTGGACCGAGGTGATCGGCGTCTATTGACATGTTAACTCTTTGTACGGATGCTTTGACGATGTCTGAGGATCAGGCAACGGGAAAATCAAAATTGAATTAAAAATAAATAATAACTGACAGTTATTGCACAAGAGGTGTCGTCTCTCGTGGCCCAAGTGGTTTAGTGGATAACGCTTAGGTAGTATTAAGAGAATTTTTGCATGAAGGGTATAAATTATGAATAATAATAATAATAATAATAATAATAATAATAATAATAATTGTAATAATAAGCAAAGAAAAAATACCGAAAGGGTTAAGGGAAAGAAGCACTCTTGGTGAGCAGAAGAATCATCAATCCAAGTTCAGCTATGTATAGGAGACGTAAGCGAATTGTATGTGATAACGACTTTGGAATTCAGTATATAACGCTGAAAGCTGTGTTGACATCGATACGATGTCCAGTATCAACCAAGTGTGACAGGATCGAGCTTTTTATACACTTAATTTCTCCCCTGCTGAACCAAGCCGGTAAGTGTTCTCGAACCCGTAGACGAACCTGCCTAATAGTGCGTCCTGTATAACTTGAACCACAGGAATAGTTGAAATGGTATATGCATGAGGAAGAGCTAAGGTTAGGTAAGTTATCTTTGAGTTGCTGGGTGAACATTGGACGGCTAGTGAAGGATAGACACAGACGTGCAGAGTAGAAAGTTTTCTTGGTCGCCCTGGTTAAACGTTGCGATAGAATCTCCACTGGAGTATCTCGCTTGAATTGGAGACGTAAAAACAAAGGCTTTTTCTCCACAGTTGCCAGTTCATGTTTACGACTATTGTAACCCATGTTGGCTTTAATGAACTTCTCTGGATATCTGTTCTCGGTTAGAATGTCTCGGATGACCTGGAGTTCTTTCTATACTCAGTCTGTTTCATTTCACATATTCGTTATTTCATTATGAACCTCTCATTGCAGTCTTACTATCTCCTGTTTAACACAGACCACTTTGTACTAGCCACTAACCTGACACCTTTCATAACCTTGAACTGACTTGTCAATTTTCCTACCCCATACTCTACAAATGTATTATGACTAATCACCACCATTGTCTCCCGTTTTACAATATTTCGTAATCGATTTCAGCCTAGCACGTTTGTTACACAAATACGACTATTTATTTTGACACCTCATAACTAATCTGTTATTCTACGTTAAAAAAAGATAACGCTTAGAGGTGTTTGAAAGGATGCGTACTGGAGTTGGAGTTTCTCCGGGAACACTATCTGTCACTCACTGGGGGAATGCTAGTACATCTGCATGGTAAGTATCAAATAAGGACAGAATGCATATCCTGGATTCCACTACTAGTCACCATCCAGCAAATTAATTCAAGTATTTACTTTAACTGACAACATTGTCAGGCATTTCATTTTATTATTGTCAACCGTATTAGTTATAACAGGATTGTAGATATTTGTCTGAAATATATTTGTTTTTTCTAGATGTTGTTCACCTGATCGAGCACCATTGGCTGGAATGTTCGGTGGATTCTTTCTTACTCTTGGTGTATTCACTGGAGTTTATGCTTCTCGTGGTTTAAACAGTCTCATATACTAAACAAATTAATGGAGAATGTGATGTGTTACGCGCGCGCACACACACACACCTTTCGGAAATACTCATCACTGCTTTTCTTCTCCGTAATATCATCTAGTCAAAACTGGAGAGATAAACTTTTATTTGATTTAAACGACAGACAAATTACACCATGAGTTGGAGTGTACCGGTTTTTTCTTGTACTTCTTCGTCGCTTCATTTAACTGTTAATCTTTCAGTCAGTCAATCAATCAATCAATCGATCTGGAAAACATCTTTTCATTACAGTTGATTTGTTTGTGTATAACGCTATCCAAGGAGGAATTAGGCCAATATAAAACTGCATTTTGTTTTCTATTTCTTGTCAATATATATATATATATATATATATATATATATATATATATATATTCAAACTCTTGTGACTTTTAATCTAAACAAATCATCAATATTCATTGTCATCTTAATCCGATCTTTTGTATTTCATTGTTATTACTTCCCCTTTTTGCTTTGAATATATATATAAGTGAAACTTCTCATTACCCTGATTAGTGGGATTTCATTTTGATTGGATACTAGTAACTAGTGTGATGTGTCTAGTCCTCTGATTGGTGCAGACTGAGTTCTATCAGTCAGGTTTGCAATGTGGCCACCATTCTAGGTAGCTTGCCATCACTGTGCACATTGATTTGATGATATTAGATGGTTGAAGGCAATCGGACACAGGAAGCCTTGCTTGACCTAGGTTTCGTGCTAGTTGGCACTCATCAGTCAGCAAGGCGTATCTGCAGTCACCCTGAAAGAACTCATGTCCCTTCTGAGATTCGAACCCGTGTCACCCAGTGGTAAATATAAATGTAAAATATAAGAATAAAATATAAATATAAAACAGGCGTTATCACGAGTTGGCATCAGATAGAGAACCAGTGGAAAACCTCGGAATACTAGAGAGTAATTTCGTACTAGTGCTTGGGGCTCTTCATCAGCACGCACCCACTGATGATTGGGGTTCGAACCTAGGACCTTCCAGTTACAAGGCAAACTCGTAGACTACTCACAGCCATTGAGGACCCAATCCAATATCTTATGAATTCTAGCTTCTGCCAATTTGCGACATATGTAGCGCAACCGTCTCAACCAGTGTCATAGGCGAGTGGACCTACGACTCCAGATAACTTCCTCTATAGAGCCAGCCATTAATGAACATCAAATTAATTATCAAGTATTGCTTTGCAAGGACAAAACAGCTATCCAGTACTCCCAGGTTTCCTAATGGTTGTCTAGCACCACTAACTACCAATGGAGTGCGATCGCATCTATGACCTTGAAACGCTCAATGAGCAAGTCAGTGAAACCAGGCAAATAATGTCGTCATTATCAATAAAATATGTTCATCAAAGTGTCACGCTATTAAATGGGATATCTGACAAGTTTCAGCTTAGGTTGGGGAAAGATTAAGTTACGCTTTAAGCCAAGGACAAGTTAGGGTTAGGTTAACCTAATAAATGAAACATTAAGGTTGGTTAGTGTTAGATTATAGTTAGCTTAGGGATATTTTCACGTTAGTGTTATGCTCAGGAAAGATTAGGGTTATTGTTAGGTTTAGAAGACCTGAATAATTATATGCATAGAATGTGATTAAATTACTCTGTTGATATAAAAATAGAACCTATGCATTCTGGTAGAGTATAATTCCATTGTGAGTAAAGTTTATTTTGATTAAGTCTTACAGTGTTATACTGTAATATTTGCTGATGACGTTTTGAGCAAAATTTCTTGCTCAGTAAATATTACTGTATTACACTATGAGACTTTATCAAAATAAATTTTACCCACAATGGAATTACACTCTGTTGACACTCCAACCTAAACTGAAAGCTATTTTTATCACATGTGAGAGGAAGGTAACACTTTTCTACAGTTTTTAGCCTTTTTTTGAATAAATATACGTATTCCATACACAAAAATGCCTCCTTCACGTGATTGGTGCGTTCGAGGTCATTCGCTGATTGGTGGTTAGTGGTGCTTAAAGTTTAACTTTGCCGGTTTTCTAGCTGACCGTGACCAAATCTCTGCGAACGCCAACACACTTGATGATAAAGTACACCAAGAAGCCAGCCAACTATAATGACACTTATATTTCAAAATCTAAACATAAATATGTGAAAATAACTTGAATATGAAATAATAACGACATAAAAAGTTCACATTTAAAAAAGGTCCATCTACGATCACTTCAGATACATAACAATATTCTCATAATACAGTTCAAGTGTAAAATTAAGTTAAATGATGAGTTATCTATTGGCCTGTGTATTCGATTGATAGACTGTTCATGTCTAGTAGTAGCTCAAAGAAATTTTAGGGTGAAATTTAGTTCTGCCTTCGACCTTAGGTGCTATGCATTAAAAATTCTATCAATGTAGCCTACATAGATAGGTCAGACCGAAACAGTAGTAATAATAATAATTTGCTTTATTCCGGAAACAGTACTAGCGGTACAGTGTGGAATTTTCAGCACATATCTACAATATTGCGTCTAATTTTATCAAACATTTAAAAGGAGTGTTTCAAAAAATAAATATTAAAAAAAAATAACAAAAGAATGCAAAAAGATATCAAGAAGTAGAAAGGAAAATAAACAACATAATAAATAATATCTGAGTATTGGGTAGTGGAAGCTATGGTATGTGTATGCGTGGTGAACAGTAACAGCTATAATCATACAAGAAGTTATGAAATGATATTATGAATGTTTATAGCCAAGATGATCAGTTAATTTGATTGAACTACACTAAACAATCACAAATAAACATTTCAGGGTTTTTTTATTGTCAGCTCTAATGCAGTGTTTGTAGTGGTAGTGTGAGTAATCCTGCATACTACAAAATATTTAAGATGGTGATAATGGCGTTGACAACCAAGATTATCATTTAATATTGCCGAACAAAAAACAATCACAAAACTAATATTACATGATGGTTAATGATAGGACAATTTTGTAATACTCATAATGATAATGTAGTCGGAACCAGTAGATACACAAAAGAAGGAAGAGAATAAAGTACAAAACTGTAAGCCAATGTTAATAATTTAGGTAGCTAAGTATGTTTAAGAAGGTGTTCACTATAGAATACAAATAAGAGAGAAATAAAAGAGCCAAAATTATGTTATTAACAACGAAGCAAGTCATAGGTTTCGCGCTTAACATTGTCTCTAAGTGACAGAGACAATGTTAAGCGCGAAACCTAGTAATATAACGACGTATTTTTTTTATCTAAAGAAAGTCCGAGGCTCTTATAAGCTTGTAAAATAAACAAAATATCTTAAAAATCTCACCAAAAAGTTGGAGTTGATGACGTTGTGTATCGACTACCTTTCATTAAATGACATAGTAAGCAGATATATCACTCATTTCTATCGTGTGACATTCATTCTCAGCTAGTGGGTATTTATCTGACCACAGGAGATTCATCATTGTTTTAATAACGAGTGGATCTGTCAGTTGTGACTGTATCTCCATCATCTAGATTATTGACAGATGCACATGAATTTACTATAAATTTTGCTGGTGTGTGAGATTTGAAAGTTCTTTATATCCTGCAGATTATTGACTATCTATTCCTTCTGTCATAATATATGGGAAGATCGTTTCAATTTGCAGTCCAATTTGTAACACTGAACCATATCAAGATTGTTCCTATTCGTTTTGCGTTGGTTTCATACACGATCTCAGGTATAAACAAATAATGAACTACTTAGTACATTCTCATTGCCTTGCTAGCGTAATCGACAACTCCGATCTTTTTTTATTATTATTATCATCACTGGCGTTTATGGCGACTATAGACAATTTCTCAGCTAATAGTAGTCCTAATTTCGCGTAAAATCTCATTGATGGCAAAATGTCCACTAGGTTCATATAAATTTTTGACAACTTAACTATTTATATATAGTGCATTTGCTGCGTTAATGAAGTAACCAATAGATTGGTTGCGTAGTGCCATTCTTATTGATATAGAAATCGCAATACTTTTGATGAACAGAACCGTTTCAGAGATAAGCTTCATTTCGACGCCTTCCCTTTCATGACAGAATTATGAAACATTCTTACCGTCAACCTGCAGTTTTACCGCGTAATCTGAATTTCTCAATCTGATTATAAACAGCTTTAAAATGTCTCCTATTTCAGAGAAATCCTACACGTTAAAGATATTCCCGTATACTCCAATATTTATTCAGATTCAAAAGCACTAAATTTATTAATCTCTTAAATGTTACCATTGCTATAGCAAGACCAAACTATACTCTTAATGGTATTATTCCTAACTCACAATGTTTACTGCGTTTTCTCTATCGTTGGTTGCTATATATATCCAACTGAGAGTGCAGATCTGTGAACAGTATTACTTCCAGACGTAATATACCATAACGTCTCCCTTTAGCATTAAACTTGGACTCGATTCGATGGTGGTATTTAGACTTTTAAAGCCCAAGGGTGCTTACATTCCCCCACCTACTTTTTCAATAAAGGCAACTATACAATCTGTCAACGTTTAAAACTGTATCACTTGTTAACTTCTTTTGGACTTGCTAATCGACTTCTTGGCAGTAGATTGGATAATGCGACAGACAACGGGCAATAAGGAAACAGGCATAAAATGGACTCACACAAAAAACTTTGAGGATCTGGACTTCGCCGATGATATATTTCTGATTTCCCACAAACTGGAATATGTGCTAGTGAAAAGCAACAATTTGGCAGAAGAAACATCCAGTGAAGATAGGACTTCAAGTGAACATAGACAAAAAAGAGGTGATGAAGATTCCTGGTCAACAGCAACAGCAACAACAACAACAGACAACAATCAGCATAAATGAGAGAAACCTGAAAGAAACAACCTCCTTTACCTACCTGGGAAGCATCGTTTTAACTACAGGTGGACGGAAATGACAAGGATATCAAAGCGAGGATCGGGAAAACAAGGCAAGCTTTCATTTCTCTCAAGTCTGTGTGGAAG